CTCCTCACAATTGTGCAGCCATGTGTTCCTGACTGAGCCCTCTCCCCAAAGTCTGAACCAACATTTTTATGATGTCTTCCTTGACACATCTAGCAAAACCAGCTTTCTGTTAAGTGCAAATCCCTTTCACACTTCCTTCATAGTCTTTACAACACACTATCTTTTCATACTTATCCTTCTTAGTACTACATTACTGTAAACTTTCAACATTTACGCAGTAACATGCAGAATGACCCCTAGAGCTTGCAACAGATTCTGGTTGAATAGAGGAAGTGCTATTGGATTTAACAAAGTAAACATTGAATCGTTCTTTGCCTTATATGAGGACAACTTCCTGAGTCACTCCCCATATATCTAGTACATTTTTTATGACTACATGTCACAATATGGTTTTCTTATCTGTTTAGATATTTACACTCCTGAACAATTAGGACTTAAAAATGTTTCTTTACTAGAATAGATTTCAGCAACGGAATTCTAGATGAGAGAATATGAAGAATTTAATAAGTTCCACCAAATCACTTTCTAAACAGCCACACCAATTCATTTTCTTTTTCAACATCCCATTAGTCTCTTGGCTAAAGTCATCTTGTTATCTAATACTCACTTTTCTAAGGAGTTTTCTGTGTTTCCTTCCTAGTGTCTATATGGGCAGGTAAAGCACTGGTCTCCAACCACACATCAAATCAAGTTAGTAGCTGTGTCATGGTATATACTACATTATTTGGAAGTCCAGTTTATGTACTAATTACCACTATTATCTGAGGGAAATGCCTCCTTCTTCATTTTCTTGCAATAGTTAGCCTCTCACAGGTACTTTAAGAGTTTCTAGGACTGGGGTCTGCATGTCAAGTACTTGTCTTCTGTAGCCTTGACCCTGTATTGGGATACTATGAATACAAACAAATAGTATGGCAAGCAAATTGGGGGATAATCCTACCATTAGACAAATGTTACTATGCGTTTGGTGTATGGAACAATACAAAAGCCTGCAAATGAGGAATCTAACTCAGTCTACCAGTCAGCAAGTCTTCTTGGAGAAAACTGAGTCCATGTGCTTGCATGTGTGCATCTGTGTGTTGGGGAGGTGGGGGTTGAGAGCCATGTAGGAGATGAGCCTAAAAGGAAAGCAGGTGAATGAAGATAGTTGGGGAAGGGGCATGAGCAAAGCCCAGAGGCTTGTGGCCAACAACTTCCAAGCTCAAGTGTTTTGCCTTTCTTTTTAGAAATCATGAATGGGGTGCTTGGCTCAAAACCTTGGTTATTTGGCCTTGTTCCCATAAGCAACTGGAAACTACTGCCCCTTAGCTCCAGTGGTGCAGCAAAGCTCAAGTGTGAGACCCTGCCACCAGGGCTCCTCCTCCACAGCAGGCAGAATGTACAGCCTTCCTTTTGACTTGGACAGTTGGGACTGGGCTATGACAGTGATTGAGACTGAGGCTTGTGTGAAGATGGAGGCAGTTTAGAAGTCCTTCTTCGGTTACTTCCTGTACAACCTGGGGCAGACTGCCCTGTGTCTTCAAAACTCCTCTCTAGTCCATGAATGGGAATAGATTTGTCTCTCTTGTAATGTTATACAGAAATGAGAATAAAACCTAAGATGATGGAAGAAAATAACATAAAGGCACTCAAGTCTAGTTCCTGGTATGTAACATACACGACGAGCAACAACAGAAAAAAAATATGCTTATTGTTTTTCAGAGTGCATAGTAAGTACCAATTGACTACAATGTAAGAGGAACTGATCTTAACATCTCTTGATTTGACCTTATCACTTTATGTATCTGGAAACAGAGGCCAGGTAAGGAACTGTCATATAGTACAAGGAAGTACCAGGACTGGTTTCTCCATGTTCCCTGCCCCACAGTCAGTAGACATAGTTGGAACACATTGACCTCTCTTTGACTGTTGTGATTTGAATGAGACATGTCCTCCATAGCTCAGCTATTTGAACATTTGACTCACAGTTGGTAGCAGTTTTGTGGGGGAGGTTTTGGAGATGCAGCCCTGTTGGCAGAATTGCATCACTCAGCAGAGTTTGAGAGTTCCATCTCTCTGCTCCCAGCTTATGGTTGAGATGTGAACTCTCAGATTCCTGCTCCTGTTGTCATGCCAACTACTTGCTGCCATACTTCCCTGCCATGGTGGACTCTTACACCTCTGGAGTGGCCAACCAAAATAAACTCTTTTTGTCCCATAAGTTGCCTTTGGTGATGATGTTTTACCAAAGCAACAGAAAAGTAACTAAGACATTGAGCCCAGAAGTTGTTTTCCTTCTATGCCCCAGCAGAAGACTGCTTTGGAGAAAGACCACCGTGCTTTCTTCCTAAAGTGTCCCTTCTTCCTCTCTCCTTTCCTAAGTTGGATTTCATCTCCTATGCTCTCCCCATCAGGCCTGCTTCCTCCCATCTCTCCTCTGACAGACATGGCTTGATCACCACAACCCCTTTGCTTCTTTCTTCCAGAGCCCACAAGACCCTGCATCTCCTTGCCTTAGGCCACAGTACCAGCTAGTTTGCACATAGGAGTCCCTCAGACCAAGTTGCATGGTCCAGCTCTTCTCTGTAGCATGTTTTCTGAATTCTGTCAATAATAGGCCTTTCCTTCGATGCTCCGGGTTTAGTATCAGCAATTAATTGTCAGCACAATTAATCAGCACAAATTGTCTGCCAAGCTAATCCTGACAACATCACAGATACTAACTTGATAATCATAGCAACCCATGAGGTCATGAGATATCAACAGCTCCACTTATAGATAAGGAAAGTGCGACACAGGGAGATTAAGAAACTGGCTCAGGGTTTTTCCACTAACAATTGGCCTAAGCAGTTGGCTCCAGGGTTGTTCCAATGCTGCTCCAAGCATCGGGCTTTGCCTGGCCCTTTGCTTCTTTCTCCTCTAGACTGCTTCTCCTTCACAATGACTTTCTCAAAACTTGCCAACAAATTCTCACCCTGAATGCAGCTGCCAGCCGATCTAATGCAAAACCGTTCCCAAGTCCACTATAGGTAATTTGGTGTATAGACAGGATCCTTTCCTGCTGGACCAATTTATTTATTCATTTAAAGGACTGCCCTTAAGGAAATGAATAGGATTTTTGAAATATAATCTATCCCAGAAACTCACAATGATGATGATGATGATGATGACCACAATGACAACAACGATGATAAACATTCCTCTTGGAAACACTGTGCTAAGTTGTTAAATGCATTGTTTCATTTGACCATTGGAAACATCTGAGAGCATGCTATCCTCCAAACACTCCCACCATAATGAAGCATCCACACACATCTCTCTCCAAATCTACTTACCTTTGAGTCACTATACTTTTAGCTTCCATTTCAGTGTCTAACCAATACCTCAAATTCAATGTGGTCCCATCTGAATTCTTTACCCCTTCCTTTCCTCATTCACATCAGGCTCCCACTCTTCTTATACCCTGTTTGGTAATGACCCTCCACATCCTCAATTCATCCCTTTACCCCCAGCTAAACCCAATTATAACTTGCTGGGTTGTCGTGCTGCAAGTCTCTTGGTTCTCTTAGCCACCTGTCCAAACCTAGTGCTTCATAAATGCTTTCCAGTTCTTCTGCAACCATAGAAAAGATTTCATCTTCACCTTGCATTTTAACATTCTGAAGCCCAGAAGGCTAAATCATGTTGCCCAAAGAGCATCAATCTGGCTCCAAAGTCCATGCCCATTCACAGCACTTTATCCCATTAGCACTAGTCTCATACTGAGATATCTTGGTTTCTTAATAATAACAAATATTTTAAATAATTCAGCATCTACCCATTGATGGCAGTGAACACTACTTAGGACTGATTCCCTTCTCAACTCCCAAGGAGTAATCTCCTTCTTGATCGACATTCAGTGTCTTAGGATACATGGAAGCACTCTCTTTAGGTACTAGAATACCCTGATATCTCCCTAGCACTCCATAATCTTTCTTTTCAAGAAGAGAGCCTGCCTCAGGCTCAGAACTTTGACAGGCAGCAAAATCAAGCTGAAGTGTACTAACATTGTTTTGTTTTCATGGTTACTTTCTATGGAGGGTGATCCCACTTTTCCACATGTAATTAAGACTGAATATAACATTTTGTTTAAAAAATAGGGGTATCTGCATTTGTAAAGAGAGTCAGTAGTCTAGGAAATCATGATACACATGCTTCTCAGAACAGCAAAGTCAGGGTGGTGAGAAGCAGAATATGACAAACAACAAAAGTTGTTTTGTAGGGTTCTAAGTTGTCCTTGCCAACTCCACAGTGGCTCTTCACAGTCAGGAACTCATCTCCTTAATGGCCCTCAAGTCATTTCCTCCCACTGCAGGCTAGTGCATTTCTGGTGGAAAGCTCCCCATTACATAGGTCACAGTTGAGGCTCCAAGAGAGAAGGTAACTTGCTAAGCTTATTCATAACTCCATGGCTTTTCTGGGATTAGATCTAAGGTGTGCTCATCCTCTACTCATGCCCTGTCTATGCTCGAAATACTTTCCAGTACTTTCCTTCCATTCAGACATCCATCGAATACACATTGTATCACACCTTCTTCAATCCTGTTCCTGAAGGAGACACCAAGCAGCCCCTTGAGTCCTATGCAACAAGAAAATTACACACTGAGCCTTGAATATCCATCACACTGCATATGCTTACAACTCCCCTCTTATGTCCTTTGTACCAGCTTAGGGGAACTAAGAAGACTATTTAGTCAAATAATTTTCTGTGGTGTTTAACTCTCTTGCAAAATCCCAATTGAGAAAAGCTGCTGATGTTTAGTCCCTTTGAATGATTAATTCTTTTCAGGTCAAAGAGTCCTTTATATGGTCAACCGAATTATCCCTTCCCTCCTACCTCCTCCTCCTCCCTTGTTTTAATTTAATGCCATCTCCTTTTGTCCAATGCCCCTGGGATGTAGAGGATTTATTAGCGTGTCTCTCATAAAACCCAAGCATAGCAGGAAATTAAATTCATCTGGCATAAGCACCTGTTTGGAGAGCTTTGTTGGTTGCTCTGCTCTACTTCATGGTTGCCAAGGTGATTGCAAAGTGACTGATGACTTATTCTAGGATGGTCCAGGTATCAATGCTAACATCATCAACTAAGTAAAGCAGTGTGGGGAGAAATTGGCCATAGTAGATCAGGATATCCCAGACCCAGGAATACTAAACCTCAAGAGGAGAGAGATGCTGTCAAGAGCTCAAGGACGGCCTTAGAAAAGAGAGGAGTGATTGTCCTGAGTGGCCTCTAGGGGGCAGACGTAAGAGTCATGGGCATAAATAGAAAGAAAACAGATTTTAGTTCAAAATCTGAACTGTGTGGAAAATACAACAAGCTGGTGGGTTTTTCCAAGACTTGAGAGAAAACACTGTGTAAGAAGTTAAGATGCTTCACCCCAAGCCATTACCACCCACATCATGCTAGACAGCTCAAATACTAGCAATTATAATTTTCAGGTTCATTCTTCTCCCTGGAAATTTTGTTCCTTTTCTCAAAGGAATGGCGTTTGCTTAATCTCATTGTAACTCAAATTAAAAATAAATTTCATGCTACTCATGTTCTAAGGGTCCTTTCACACATGTGAAATAATGAGACAAACATGCATTCTATATCTACCTTTTAATGCAATAAAAGATAAGACAATAGGAATAACCATCTTTTGAAGGTAGTACACTCAGTATTTACATGTATTTCATTTCATTTAATATAAATTTGGTTAGATAACCCTGTCTAGAGATATTAGTAAAAGGTAGACATGTTAAACAAAGGAATTCCACAGATGTTTCTCTGTCCAAGAATTGAAAAGATGGAAGAATTTTTGTCAGAGCCAAAACAGGGAGGAGGTTCCTTGGCTGTCCAATGGTTGGTGTGAGGGCATTCTCTGGCAACACAGAGCCCTGCTTCTGTTCAAACACTCATTAGATAAATCAAACTGTGGCTTCTATTCCTGTTTGGCAGGCAGGAAATGACAAATCAGTGTCTTAAGGGATTGACAAAATATGTAATTAGACACTATCAATCACTATAAAAGAGCTCGACTTTTCTTACATCAGATAAAGGTGGCTTAGTCTACTGTTGTATGACTTAGCTCTGTAAGGTCTCAAGCTCCATGAAAGCAGTTGTAACAATCCCATTCACTGCAGAATGAAATCAAAGTTGTTGGGTCTGGAAAACAAGTGCAGCCAGGAGGGCAGAGCTGGACCCTTAACTTCCCTAACACCTTGAACAGGACACTCCCCCACTTCTTCACTTCAGGCTCCTCTTTTTTTGCAAACTAAAGGAAATAGACTAAATGATCTGCTAAACTCTTTCCTATTTTAATTGTGTCCAGACTTAGAATTCTAAAAGGAGGTCTAAGAAATGATAACATTCTGAAATTCCTACCACAGGAGGAAAGAGTATGTCTACCTGTCAAAACTGCTGGGACCTCCTTTTTGCCAAATGTTATTTCCTCTTCTTGATTTAATATGTGTAAGGTTTTTAAAAGATGTTTCCCAAATTATTTAGTTAAAGTCTGGGGCAACTTAAAGTGTATACCAAATAAAATATTGGTCAGTGTTTTTCCTAAAAAGGGTTTGCCTTATTCTTTTTTTTGTTGTTAGAGGTAGATTAAACTGCATGCTTATTTACTCCATACCCTCGCACAAACAGGAAGTAGGTTTTAAATGTTTTAGTTCCACATTCAGGGTAGATGTGTATTTAAAGGAAGGTTGTTGCATAACACAAAGCCTCATCCTAAAATGCATCAAACCAGAGCCAATTTTGGAAAACACAAATATGAGGTGGGTGTATTTTTAAAACTATGTGAACATAATAAATCTTTAATTGATATTTGTGGGCTTATGGAAAATATTTTGAGACACTTGTCAAAAAAAAGTGTGTGCTGCTGAAGAAGTTTCATTTCTAAGCCCCATTTCTGAAGTAAACACTGCACCATCCTTTTTCATAAAGTGTTTTATAGTTCTGCTGGAGGAAACTAGTAATATGTTCTAAAGGATTAAGTAAATGATATAAAGTACACTAGCAAGCTCACATTGGTCTGATATTTATCTATGTAACAGCCCTTTCATAGTTTCTATTGAATTTGATTCTCACTCATTCCAATGAAAATGACTTTATCACACTATCACACATTATCATTCTACACACACACACACACACACACACACACACACACACACACACACTTACACGTGCACCCCCTTAGAGATTGAAGGAATTTGGTTCCTTCATTGTGGTTTGACTAAGGAAAACAAAAGTTAAAGTTCCAAGGTGCACCTGAAACACACGTGCTCCAATCCCAGTTGTAGGTTTCTTCTAGACGACCCCCCCTCATTTTTCTTCATGGAATAACATAATACCTTAGAAAGATTGAAAAACTGGATGCTAGAATGGGACAGATTCAGGTTCAGATTCATCGTCTGGTACTGCCTGGCCAGTATCCACTGGCAAGCTATTTGCCCCATTGAGCCCCACTGGAGAACTGAGCTAAAAATACCCCCATGGGACTATGGGAGGGATTAAATGCAATAATGCACAAAAGGGGCATAGCAGAATGTTCCCTAAATGTCAGCTATTGTTATGTTATTATGTAATCTACAAAGTATGTTTGGTTATGCGGTGTGAAAGACTTGCAGTTTGTCAAAGATAACACATGTGAAATCAAACGCAAAAAATTATTTGTTTTCCCAATAGTCAAAATCATTTTCCAGATGAGGATAGTATTTCATGAATCTAGGTCTTTGTCTGATTTTTTTTAAAGGGGGGAAACAACTATCATTTACTTTCTGTAGTTTTAAAATGGTCTCCAGAGAGCATGTTTTTAATATAATGTTATATGAAATTATGGGTTTTTTTTAAAACAATAGTAGCAAGTCCAACAGTAGCAAGTTCACATGACACAGCTTAAAAGATTAACAAATTATCCAGCCAACACATGAAATGATATTTTTATAGTTTCAATGGAGTAATTGAAGAAATTCTTTGAAATGAAAATTATCTGGACTTAAGAGGTGCCTCGGTGGTTAAGAGAACATTAAGTGCTCTTCCAGAGGACCAGGGTTCAATCTCAGCACCCACATGTCAGCTTATGAGCTGGTACATTTCTGTATCTCCAGTCCTATGGAATCTGATGCTCTCTCCTGACCTTCAAAATAAGCACAAATACAATGAAAAGACATACCTAGAGATAAAACTCCCATATGTGTAAAATAAATGAATTTAACTTAACTTTTAAAAATGTAAAAGGAAAATATTACATTTTCATTTTCAATGCATCCTCATATAACAAGAAAATGATGCCACACTCCCAAGAATTAAAAATAAAATAAAACCACCTAACTCTCCCCTAAATGTGTAAATACTTGAACTCCTAATGAAAGACAAAGGGTAAATTACTGCCTCGATGCCTGCAAGGTCTCAAGGGGGGAGGATGCCAAAACATATTTTTCAAAAAGTGTGCAGAGAAACTGTAGCTATTGAAGTCACCTCCTGTGCTCTTGCCAAATAACTGTAAGGGAATATACTGAGAGTCTGGGAATGGGAAAAGAGGGTGTCATTTATAAGTGCTTCAGGAGGATGCTACCTGGATGTGGACATGGGTGTCTGAATGGTCCGCACACCACATCTCCACATGAGCTCTTGTGTACATTTCTTTCTGCATGTTTCTAGGTATTCCTGTGTTTGTTTTTAGCCACCTTTCTGCATTGGACCAGGAGACAGCTGTCGTCTCCAGCGTGAGTGGGCGCGGGTGTGTCTCGGTGTCTGTGGCTGTGGTGCGGCATAAGTCTGAGCATGTCCACGTCGGCCGAGTGCGTTTGTGCCTGTGTATGCGTGTCCGAGTGTGCTTGTTCAGTCTCTCTTCTCTGTTCCTAAAGGAAAATGCGCTGTGTGCCACCTGCATCCAGAGACCTCAGCCCGCAGAGGTGACCTGCACGGACAGGTAGAAGAACTTCCAGACTGCGCTTGGTTGGTGGATCGTACAGCAGCTCCAGATTTCTGTCTCTGAGGCCCCACTAGGGTAGCTGGGAGGGAGTGGTGGCTTGGCCTCCGGGGAGCACTGGGGCCCCGCCCGGACCAACCCCAGGAGGAGGCGGGCTAGGCAGGGAGGGTTGGCCCTTGGTGCTTCGCCCCTCCGGGCATGCGACCGTACCATTGGCCCAAAGTTGTTGCACGTCACCAAGCAATTCCCCTAAAGTCCGGTGCACATAACGGGCAGGGAGCATTGCGAGCCTGCTTCTCCAGCGTTCAGGCTGCAGCTAGCAGGCACCGCGAACCCAGAGCACCCCACGAGCTGAGTGTGCAGAACGC